TGTGAATCAGAGATAAGATGTTGTGTGTTTTATTTTTGCTTACTTTAGGTTGAGTGCGTATAATAACGAACCAATAAAGAAGTAAACTATTTCAATTTTAGATATTAATTGTTAATAATAAATCTTAAATATTCAATCACCGTCAATTCAATGAGATCAATAGGGACCGTGATTATAGCTTATTTATGCACCTAGTTAATCTCTTTCGCTAGATATTCTAAAAATATAGGCATTTTAATAAATACTAGTTAATATTATTAGGTACATTAGTTGTGGAATAAAAAGTATAATCAATCTCATTTCAAAATATGTATATTGGTTGTTAAGAAACAGTTATGTCTTATGTACAACTCTGATGAAATCAAGAATAAATTGTATTTACTGCGTATAACCACTGAATATCTCCATCAAATGCCAATTATACATTGGTGACAATTAGAGAAATTAATTAATAAATTACGTTGAGACTCAATTTATTATATTAATATTTACAGCAATGTTCTTTCAATATATCATCTAAATAATTGATTACTTTTTTATAAGTCAATATGCATATCGTCTTCGCTCAAGTCTTAACAATTTCAAACTTATCGTTAAGTAATAATACTCGCCTTTAATTAAATATTAATATTAAATTAAATTAAATATTATATTTAATTAAATTAAATATTATATTTAATTAAATATTAATATTTTATTAAGCCGTTTATTTAACTTTATTAATGTGCGATGCATTTATCGATACAGATTTATTTTCATGTAATATATTATAGAAGTTTTATAAAATTTTACATGGCAAAAAATATTCATCGAATTCACAATTCCCAAAGATATTTGTCCATAAACTTCCTTTCAGAGTGATATAAGAAAATCTTGAATATTACTCTCAGCTTCTTTTTACTAATGCCGACCGAATTTGAGATCATGTTTTTTTATGAAATTGAATGGAAATATTATGATTCCATTTACCACAGCGGCATCTTTAATATGGTATTACTAGCGTTTCAATCTTACCTCTCCATCTGAGTGTCAACCTGTGGATATTTTGTTAGAGAATTAGTTTTCCATTTATGTTAGGGACATCTATTACCAATCTAAAACATCAAAGTGGTGTTAAAGGAGAAATTAATTGCTCCAGATACTCGAGGACAGTGTCTGTTCTTATACAACCGTTTTCTAGATAATTAATTAGACTATGTCATCATCAAATGCTTGACAGTCTTATAACGGAGGAATTTAATTGAAAATACTTAGAAACCAACTTATATTTCTGATAATGAAGATCTTTTATGAAACACTTTTACTATACTGGTATTTAGGTCATACGGCAAATGTCAAATAATGAATTACATTAACTTAATACATATAATGTATTTTAGATATTAAACTTTAATATCTATTTTAGATACCCATTTATTTTAATTACTGCATAACTACAATGAGCTATAAACTTTCAATATGTATGTATAGTATAATATTTTTTTAAAGGTATTCTCTATTTTATTGTCACCCTTTTGTCTTATTGGTTTTTAAGTATGATTGTCCTTTCTTTTATTTCTCTTTTTATCCATTCTTCTTTTTAATACTATACCTAAATATATATTCGTGTTGTTTTTTACTAAGAAATTGATTTTCTGTGCTCTATATAATATTCTCTTATTGGTAAACATAATGGTTGAGGTTATCTATTTTTATCAAAGAGATATCCACATTTTTAATCTTGCATGTATTTAGAATTATTCACTTTCTTTATAAGGTGAGCCTATTCTTTAACATACGGTTGTTTCGAAGGTTCCTTTTTCAAGTCGGTTGAACAATGCAATAAAAATGGCTTATGATAGTTATGATCATGATTAATTTTTTTGGTGGTAAGTGGTATCCGCCGACTCTATATATATGAACAGCATCAAGAACATCACCATGAGTGCTAAGATGGAATATCCTGTAATTTAACTACCTTATCTCACTCTTCAACCGAAGTTTACAAAGCAAATTACTTAATCGGTCGAATAGGTAAAATTGAGGAACCCACACAGACAAGTTTCTTCCATGCATACCTTCGCAAGAAGAACACTTCCCAAACTGAATCAGTTGTGAAATTCTGATGAAATTCTATTTCTATGAAATTCTGAAATAAATATCATATTTATCAAAATCTCCATCATTTTTCAATGTTTGAATATTTTGGTGACATATAATGAATTTTTTTAATTAATCTAAACTAGTCTCAACCTAAGCAGCCTGTGTAGACTATACAATTAATGGATATACTTTACATTTTTTGTAAATACGTACATAGAAACCATCCAATATTATACTCCTGAATGTTTGTGCGAGGAATCGAACCGGAAACAAATTGTGTTCTAAGCCTCTAGACCACCGAGACATTACAAAGGATTCAATAGTTAATTTCAGTAATTAAGAAGAATGTCTGTGAACCGTTTCATTTGAAACACATAACTTATCTCTGAAATAGTTGAGAGAAGTTGCTTCTAACTAACTTCGGTCATATTCACGAGTTCTCGACAACAATTAGTAGTATAATCGATTCGTAATCGTAGTTAATAATCGTATACAATAACACAAATTGTTACAAACAAAGTATAAGAACTTGAGGTAGATGGAGTGTTTTGTTATGACTTCAATACTTTCTACGAGTATATGATAGATTAGACAATTGATTGACAGGCTGATAACGATGTTTTGGTAATACATAAGGGCGCATGATCGATTCCGTTGTTAAACTTCTTTTGCACCAAATGTTTTTATCGAGCAATACAATGACTTTATCATATCCGGAGATTTGTGTTGCAATTTCCTTATCCGGTTCCGTTAGTGTAGGATTAATGTTATTATCCGTATTATCAATAGTAATCCTTGCGAATGAGAGTGTTTCTCTGACTATTGACTAATAATAATAATAATAATCATTCTTCACAGATAAACAAAGAACAATAACGGACTAAATGAAAATTACAGAAATTTCACTTAAAGATATTTTTATATTTATTATTAATAAATATAAAAATAAATACAAATAAATGTATGCATCATTTATTTGTATTAGCCTAAGTGTTTTCCATATATATTATGTATGTATTTACAAAAAAAATATATGAATATTTATATAAATTATCTAGTACCCATAACACAAGCTCTCCTTAACTTGAGACTAGATGCATTGTGTGATGTCCAGGGATATTATTATTTATATGATATATATTTTAGTATTCTCACTTTGATCAGGTTATAGATTTGTCTATTTTTATTATAATTAATGTAAATGTAAACTATTACTCATTCCTCAAATTCCTCTTTCTCAATTATAATTGGTTTTAGTTAAACTGAAAATCTTTTGAAAATGTATAACCCTGTTTTAGAAATTAGATTGATCTTGATTGGGTTGGCATCCTATAGCATCCCTTCTCTTATGTAATTTATTGGTAACAGTCTCTCGGCTCGGATAGCTGAGAGTAGCGATTTTCGAAGGTTTCAATATAATAAATTTGTTTCCTACTCTGCTGTGTTTTAAATTATCGAAACGAATACTACAATATTACGAAATTATGAATATATATTTTCATAGATATTTTTTTGTTAACAAATATATATTCATGGATACAACTGTTTATATCGTACGAGGAATCGAACCCGGTACCGTCGAAAGTAAAGCGGTGTGCTAAACCGCTAGCCAACCAAGGCTACCATAGGTGACTAAAATTATTTATAATTTAAAGAAGGAGTAAAATTAATACATTTTGTTGATTTTTATCTAACTAAAAAGTAAGTTTCAAGATAAAGCACCTAAGTAATAGAAGTATAAGCTTACACAGCTTATACTTCTATTACTTGTACAGAAATGGATTTGATAGAGTTACCTACACAAATTTGTATAAACTCTCGATCGGTAATTACTAGGTTACGAAGCTTTCTCATCTCTCATTTTTATAGCGTTACTATATAACAGACTGGAGACAATAACTGAAACAAATTTGGCGCCAGAAAGTCAAGGCTATGTGAGTGTTTCTGACGACATGCACACGTAAGAACTAACATTCGTTAGACTTCATTCATTTAACTTGTATGTCTTCAATCAACTCTTTATTACATATGTACCAATCTTATCTACTAGATACTTACTGATGTAAAAGATAAAATATACATGAAGTAATAGTTATCCTTACTAATATTATAAATGCGAAAGTAAATAAGTAAAATAACTCAGTCTGTCTGCCTGTCTCAGTTTCGGATGAAATGAAATGAAATTTGATACACAGATAGTCTAGACCCTGAGAAAGGACATAGGTTAGGCTATTTTTGAATGCGACATAAAGATTGTAGGGGTATGAGAGTTTTTATGGAAGTATTATCATTTTTAAATCTGGAAGTGTTATCAATTTCAAACTTATTTTTTAAGATGTCGATTAAATATGAATAAATATCACATTCAGAGTTTTCAAAAATGTTACCCTTAAGGGGATAAAAAAAATTGGGCATGAAAGCTTGTAAGCAAAATGGACATTTTTAAAGCTAGAAATGGTAACTTTTTCTTTGCCTTGTTTGAAGGTCACTATTGATATAGGTATTATTATAATTTAATCAACTTCATTTTCATAATTCTATACAATATCAAAATTGGTAAATCGGCTATTTCTTTTGGAAATCGATTATATATAATACATTATATTAAATGGTAGTCCCTGTTTAATAGATTTTGCTATTCTTTTCTTCTATAACAAATTTCTTGTGTTATAATGTTGTACATCTTGATTTTGTTTTAGATTTTCCTTGTTTTTGTGCATGTGTAACAATGAATGAAATATATAGAGTGATACCACCGTCATAATTTTATGTACCGTCATGAATTATGAATTATAAAGTTTTTTTAAACTTTAATATTAAAAAAATGAACATATTCCTCAAATAATCAAATCATCAAATCAATCAGCATTACATCAAAATATCATCTAACTAATTGTTATTGTACATTTCTTTTTCAGCGGCCGTAGGAAGAATTGCCAAATTCCTTGGCAGTACTGGCACGCCAATCATTACTACCGGCGGTTATTCATTCGATTTCGTGAAGCCGAAACAAACATGTCTCGATGAGTTCTACATGACTGTCCGGAGTGGTCCTCTCGGGTTCAAAGACGTGGCATACTTCTTAATAGACATTATGAGACAGTAAGTATGTTTATTGTATAAATATAAGGGTGCCTTCCAAAATACATGAAAATGTTTAAGGGTTTGTTCAAATTTAATCATTCCTATTCGTCAATGATTTATTAATGTTCATCTTGATGTTTAATTCTTTGTTTTTTGAACATTTGATCGCAGGTTTGTTAAAATTTATCATTTAGGACCGAATGCATTTGCCATTCGGGGTAAAATAGGGATTCTTAAAATAGTGAGTTATTCCACTTTGGTAACTCTTTAATACTTTCAAGTATTTGGGAATGCTATCCAAATTTTTCGTAGTAGTCTAGATTTAGTCCAATGAAATAAGATTTTTTTATAATCAACGTAAGTACTATCTCTGGAGGAGGATTCCGATTCTTAACACTGAATTCCGGACATCGTATAAAACGGGTAAGTTATGTTTGATTGAAACCGCTTAAGGCTGATTGCGCCTCACTTGCGGCAATATAAACATTTCTGTCAAAATTGTATTTGGAATTGGTATCCACTATTTGCTAAATAGATCCCGTGACGTCACGCCTTATTCGTGGAAATTTAATGTGTGTGTAATTTATACGATATTATATTAAGAAAATAAATTTATTACTTAGGTATGTTAAATTGTTACTAGTACTACTAAGTATTAGTACTACGAAAGTACTATTTAATAATGTAGCTTATTACACTGTTAAAGAATATCTAAAAGATATTATAGTGTGCAGGTTTCGTACGTACCTCTGTCATTTAAATTACCAGCCTATTTATGTATAACAAATATAAAGGGTCGGCAACGCACACGTGACACCACTGTTGTTTCAGGCCTCCACAGGCTACGGTAACAGTTTATCATCAGATGGGCCGTATGCTTGTTTGCCACCATCGTAGTATAAAAAAAAATTAGTCATACTAGATTTTATTACACTACTTTAAATTCCCATGAATTTATGTAATTGAAATTCTAAAATTACGTTTCATTGATGTAATATTTTAACCTTTATAGACAAATTTATATTATGCGCTTTATTTTGACAGTTTTGTTTGTATTTTGCATATGAACTACACCAAAGGGTACACGGTAATGGAGTATATTATAATAAACTTGTATTTATCTCTTTAATGACAAAGTAGGCTTATTTACGAAATAGTCTCTGTTTTATGCAGTAATATTGTACCTACACTTGTAATATTTCTGTCGACAATTGAGACCCTTCCCTTAGTTTACGTCTACTTATATACGTCCACTAACATAGATTTAAGTTAAGTGTAAAATCAGTCTACGTCCCGACTCCGCGTCGACTGGACGCGTTATTAATAAACCATGTCGCACACTACCATTAAACTTAATAATGTTTAATAAATAGTTCTATCATTTTACTGGTATACTTATTACCTACATACTACAATAAATAATATATTATGTAGCGCCACCTCATCACAACATATATAACGCTACAGTGATGAGGATACCAGCGCGCTTCAATATCATTATATTATTTTTTGTAATATACAGTAAAAAGATATGAAACGTCCTATTACTTTAATCTCTGATGATGAGAAATTGCTATTGTCGCAACATTTCAACATTAATTACATTAATATTATCACGCGTACATTTCTAGGAAAATATTCGAAATTAAAGGCGAGCATACTATTACTACAGGAAACATTTTTAAATAATTAAAATGCCTAACTTATCTAGTTACTCAATTTTAAACCTATATATGTATGCATGGACTTTTTATTGCACATGTAACTTAAAATAGTACATAAATTATAAAATTTATTTGAGAACCACCCAAAGTTTTGCACTGATTGAGGTCACTTCTAGCCAACTTACCGCTGTGACTTAGTAATTAAAGCTAGAGTAGATGGAAAATGTATATGTGTATATTCATTTTTATAAATATCAAATATGCACGATTCAAGCTTAGCTTTATTGTTTTCAGTAATGAGATCTGCTATATTAATTTATATTATACCTTTTTCTTTTTCTTATTTTTACTGTAGGTATAGTTAAAAAATGTATTCTATCTGTCTACAGTTTAGGGTTATTGTCGGTTGACATTCCGCGAGCAGTTTGTTTGTAGATTGTTAACTTGAGTAGTTTCACTGTGAGCACATTTGTCTTATGTTTTCCTTCGTTAATTATCCTTCATTAACGCAGACGGTTAATGTATTCAGGTCTCAAGAGTTTCCACTGCGGTTTGCAGTGGGAAAAGCTTCCTTTTGTTGTTATTGTAACATAATAGGAAAATATTTTGAGAACGTATGAATGAAAATTTATTCAAATAATATAATAATCTCAGGACAATTAACACAGCACCACCTAGTGGGTCTAGGTCTAGTTAAGTTAGCTAAAGCTTATGTTATGGGTAATAACTGATACAAATACATAGTTCTTTTTTCGTAAATATATATATATTATACATAGAAACACTCATACCGAATACAAATGTTTTATACATGCGAGGAATCGAATCGTCAATGATCTTAATATAAGAAGTTTTGAATAGCCATTTTTATTCTACCCTTCATCCAGATTCAACCAATGAATGATTATAGAATTTGTTGAATATTCAGTGTTGTTCAACTTTGTGTTCGATATCTATATATTGGTCAGACTTATTTCTGTTCATAACAGTTTATTTTACATGAATTCCAGCTTGAATGAAAATGAGATTCATTCATTCATTATTTAAGAGCCGCGCTATTGTCGGTGGAGCTATTGTCATTTACCACTATTTTCCATCAATCTTTTTAATAATTGTGGATACAACATAACTCCAGTGAGTATGAGATATTGGGATGAAATTACAGAAAAAGCCACCGATTTTAGAGCCGTGTGAAGTTGCTTCAACATTAAGTTACGCCTGGCTAGGTGCTTGTACCTAGTGGCAGCGTTCGCAAAGCAGACACTTTTTTAAATTTCACACAGCAAGTAGATGCGAGTAAATATACAAATAGTCCTCTAAAGTTAGTCCTCTTAGTTATTAGGAATGGCAATGCTTGAGTGAAGTCATCGGCGTCACAATGTATTTTTTTTAATGCTGACAATGGAATGGTAACCCCGCCTGCGCTTACTGTTTACGCTGGCAGGGCACCAGTCTGATGATAAAATAAAAAGCGGTCAGGTCAGTTAACCTATCATGACAAATTCACCAGGATTTTATCAGGATGGTTTCCAGTAGAAACCGAGTCGACGTCAACCTGACATGGAACCTTGCTAGTAATGGGGTCAACAGTTCACATTACCTTCCCCCGTCACTGTGTATTTTGAGGGTCAGCCTCTGCTGTCAAAATCACTTTTAGTCGGTGTATATCCAAACTATTTCTAATACAATCATTGGTTTAGAAATATTTTCCATACATACACTTTCCAAAAAGTCATATGTGCGTGAGGACTCCAGCTTCAACTAATTCAGTCTTCTAACATTTTGCTTTATAAACTTTGTTTCAGTTGAAGGATCGAGATAAACAATTGAATTTAGAAATTGAATATAAAAAAAATAAAGCAGTTTTAACCATTAGTATCAATTGAATGAACCGAAAGAGATTGTTATCAATGTATGGGGATTGAAATTATTATTGATTATGTTCCACGTAAATCTGTGGGAATATGATCAACTTTTTTGCCATTTATTTCTAGTGTAGCACACCACTTGACTACCAATAGTCGCGAGTTCGATTTCTCTCACGGTACCATTATTTGTATTCATAAGTATGACTGCATTGGTCTGCATGTTTTCTATGTAATATGTATTTATTTACAAAGTAATATATATCTAAGTAAAAAAACACAAGCTCAGCCTAGTTTAGGGCTAGATGGCGCTGTGTGGATTGTCCAGGGTTATTATTATTATTATTTCAATTACACAAAATAATAGGGTTTTGCTTGCGGATAAGGTAAAATTTGGGGTTTCCAATTATTATGATTGTCCACAACCAATTTCGGTCAGACTGTCTGTTTCAACTCCATTACTCCATAATAGTGATTTAGTAGTAATCTTGCTAATAAATATTAAACAGGCACTCTCGGATTGCATTATGGATTTATGTGCTTTATTTCACTTGGTATGTATTAGAGGTACAAATACCTATGAATTTATTATTTATAACAGGTTAAATTAGTATATAATTTACGAATTTATGAAGATGTTTCACACGATAATAAATATATAATAATTGATTATTTATTTTTAACTGATTTTACAAAAGAAAGAAGGTTCTAATGTATCCGCCATGTATCTTTTTTTAGTATGTTCAATGATATTTTAGTTAATACAGCATATATCTGATTTTATATTTATAACTGACTTTAAAAAAGGTACTAAGTTCGACGTCATACATTTTTTAGTATTATATTGATATCTTCTTTATTAGTGGATCGATTTTCAACATTGTTTTTTATTTATTTTATGGAATTTATATTTACAACATAAAAATCAGTATTTTTAGTAATTTGTTATGATGTATTGACAGAATAGACTTATAACATCAGTAACTCATAATCGAGTTTCAGTGGGTTGAGTCATTTCTGATTAACAACTTCCTAAGTCGATTAAATATAACTTTCGCTATTCGACCGAATGCCAAGGGGATTTGAAAATCGAATTAGCGACAAAAAAGAATTTTATAGTATTTTTAAATTCAACAAAGTTGCCAGTTATAAATAAGAGGTATATATTTTTTTTATAGTTTTCAAATATAATTAAGAAAAATATAATGTAGAATACGATATTTGAATTAAGAATGTTCTTTTTTTTAGACATATATAAAAAATTTATGCATGACACAATAAACAGACTATTGGTTTATATTTTAAATTAAAGATTTCCTTTTGTTTCGTTATCATATATCGTTTCTATTTTTTTTTTAAGTTTAAGTAACAAGTCAAATAATCTGTCAGCTCACCTCGCTGGACATCACAAAATATATTCAAGTAACTTAGCCATCAGACGCTTCCAAAAATAGAAGTTGTGTTCTCTTTGGACGCGTCAAAGTTTTTT